TGCAGCTATCTTTTAATCCACTTCACCTGGCTTCTCTTTAAAGTTCTTCCTGCTGGCATTTTGCTCCCAAACCTCTGTATGGCAATTGGTTTGCCTAACACATAGGAGACACAAATCATAAACAAACAATACAAAGGGTCACGTTTGCTCAATTAAAGATGTGCAGGGCTTCCCTGGTGTCGCAGTGGTTGAGAGTCCGCCTGCCGATGCAGGCAAGGGAAACGGGTTCATGCCCCGGCCCGGGAAGATCCCACGTGCTGTGGAGTGGCTGCGCCCGTGAGCCATGGCCGCTGACCCTGTGCGTCCGGAGCCTGTGCTCTGCAACAGGAGAGGCCACAACAGTGAGAGGCCCGCGTACCGCAAAATAAAATTTTAAAAAAAGATATGCACACATAAAGATATAAGTGCCACTTTACCTTATGGAAGTGGCAAAACTGAAGAAAAATAAATTTTAATGAAGGCAAGCATTGACAGGCACTTGGGAGAAACATTTTTTAAAGGTACTTAAGCTACTTTTTCATTCCCTTGATTTAGTAATCTCACTCAAGATAATTAACCCAGGAAAATCATTCAAAAAGAAAAAAAAAATCTGTATGTGCAAACGTATTTATAGGCATGTTATTCACAACCTTGAAACACTAGAAATGATGCGACCATAGGGGGAAGATTTAGGTAAATTGTATCAATATCTTGTTATACTGGGTAGCCTTGAAATTAATAAATGCCATGCCTATGTAGAAACATGAAAAGCAAATAAAGCCAAAAACAAAATTGTAACTGACAAGATTATAATATAATTATATTCAAACTACACTTATGAGAATAGAAATGGGCAAAAAATAAGAAGAAATGAAAATAGATTTTGCTGAAGTGATCTTTTGAAGTTTTCTTTTACACTGTTTTAAAGTACATTCAATAATATTTATTTTCAGTTTAATGAGTTTCCCAGATCATACCTTAAAGATTCAAAGACATGCATTAAATGCCTCTAGCCTTGAAAACATGTAAAAATCTATTTATAGACATATACAGTAACAAACATCTTTACATAAACAAAACATGTAATTTATTCTTGTATTTTGGCATGTCACATGACAGAGTTCATGGTGGTGTCATGGGAAAAGACTCCCCTGGGACTTGGCAGACCAGAGCCCTGGCCCAGGCGCCCCACATTCACTGGAGACCAGGCAGAGGACTTGGTGACACACCCCTCCTCAGGTTCCCAATGAGAACACAAAGGGAGAAATTTCAGCCCAGAGGTCCTGCTTGGTTTTAAATTTTTGTGTTCTAGGATTCTGAAAGTATTAGCTCTTTATCTGTTGCCTAATTCAGGGCTGGCTTGAAAAAATAAGAAACTCTTTGGAATGTATATTGGCTTTGGCCAATAAAGACAAATGCATGGTAAGGAAACGAACAAAGAAAGATTCTTAATTCAACAGATATTTATTCAGCACGTAGCATTGTAGGTCTTGTGACCAACATGCAAGATGTCTGCCCTATGGAGCTTATATTCAAAAGGGAGAGGTCGACATAGACCATAAACAAAATAAATAAGTAAAATATTTAATTGGTCCCATAGTAGTAAGTGCTATGGAGAAAAATAATCAGGCTGAGTGGGACAGGGTACATCTGGAGGGGAATCTGGCAGTTTTAAATAGGGTATTCAGGGAAGGCCTCTGTGAAAAGACACCATTGCGTAAAGATCTGAAGGAAGTGAGGAGGCAGCTCTGAGGACACCTGTAGGCATTCCCACTGGGGTGGGAACCCACTGGGGGATCTGAGCAGAGGGGTGACATGATTGGCTTACATTTTAACAGGCTCACCCCGGTTGCTGTGTTCAGGGCAAACTGCAGGAGGGCAGAGTGGACACAGGGAGACCAGTTAGGAAGCTATTACAGTAATCCAGGAAAGTGGTAACTGGCGAGATGGTGAGATGTGGTTGCATCTGGATACATTTTGAAGGAAGAGGTTGCAAGGTTTGCTAAAGAATTGGATGTGTGGTGGAAAAGAAAAAGAGGAGGGAAGGCTAACTTCACAGTTCTGGGCCTGAGATGGTAAAGACTAGAGAGAAGGCAAGGAAGGGGGCAAGGAGTCTGGTTTGGGTGAGTTTCAGTGCCTATTAGATATCCGAGTGGAACCCTCAAGTAGGCAGGTGGATGTACTAAGTCTAGAGTTAGAGGTGAGGCTCTAGGCTAGAGTTATAAACTTGAGAATTAATTATCAGCATATAGAGAGTTTAAATGATACTAAAGCCATGAGACTAGATGAGATCACAAAGAGAGAGGGTGTAGATAGAAAAGAAAAGAGGTGCGAGGACTAAGGAGAAATCCAACACTAAGAATTTGAGGCGTGGGCATGATCCCGCCAAGGAGATGAGATGGAGTGGCCAATCCCATCAGCAGGAGGAAAACTAGTAGAATGTGGTCAAAGCCAAGTGAAGAAAGCAATTCAAAGAGGAGGGATTATTTCCGGAATAGTTTTTGTTGGCAGGCTGTTCATAATCACACCTAGTAAGGAGAACATATTGTGTATGATCTGTTGTGTCATTATCACCCAAATAGAAATCATTTTGGGAACATCCAGTATTTCTTATTTTCCACACCTTTCTGCACCTCCATCATCACAAGTGAGTGTTTCTAATCGCTCTTATGGTTGTTTTCTCATCTTATGGAGATGTTATTAAGATCAGTGTGATTACAAATGGGAAATATTCTAATTCTCAGTCATGTGGGTTAATGAAGGAGCAGAATGACTATGAATTATTTGCTCAACTAGGCACTAAAAATTACTTCTATTTATTCCTAAATGTTGAATTCACATTGGATTATAGATATGTCATATTCTGGGAACTCATGGGCACGTTATAAAATGAAGCTGGTCTGTGAATATATTCATCATTAGAACATGTAGATCACATTTTCTTACTAAACCACCTTCTATCTCCAATCCTGCCTAAGAAATCTGGCTTTCTCTCTTAAGAGATAAAGTGTTTTATTTACATCACCTTTCCTGATAAGAGGAGGGGAGAAGAAACAGATATAACTCATTGACAGCCTTGGGATATAGACATTCTGTCTCCGTTCCTTTTAGCTTTTACTGGACATCAGGCTGCCAGTCTAATAAGGCAGCAAAGAAAAGTAAACAGAAATAGAAAGCAGAATATATAGCAGTCTTCATCCCACTGGTAATAACCATAAATTTTAAAATGCAACGTTGGCTACATCGTAAAAGGATTTTCTTGGTCTGTTTGCATAGCCGTATTTTATTCTGTTCTGAACTAATCTGGACTTTTTCAGAGATTCTTATTGTACACCAATCTTATTTATCCTAAAAATCTTTTGCAAAACATTTCTCCAGCAAAGTGTGCTGTATATATGCCACGTGGCATCATCGTGCATACCAAAACTATAGGTTCTAATCTACAGTGAAGAACAGGTAGCATAATTCCTAGGAGTTGTTTTCACAGGTGTACGTTTTAGTTGTACTGAGACAGAACACTAACTATAAACGATAGGGGCTCATTTTGGTGGCTATGGGTAGCTTGTATCTTGCCTTGGCGTTGCTAACTAATCTTTCCCATTAAGCTGCCTGGCCTGCAAACCCATGTGCACCTGTCTCAATGCCTTGGTCTGTTTTACAGCCTTCTTCTGGCACTATCTAATGAAAGCTATTAAAAGAAAATGTTTCCTTTCCATTACAACAGCAGCAAAAATTTCAAGAATGAAGTCACAAAAATATTGTACCACAGGTCCCTTCTTAATAGTAAGTCTGAAAGCAGTTAGCACCAGACCATCATCTCATGTCAAAGAGCATAGTTTCTGAAACCAAAGTTTCTTTAGACTTAACATTTAAATGTGATTATTATCATAAAATATTAAGGTAAAATATAAGGCAAACACAATTTCTTAATGCCAGTTAGTGCTTTTTTTTTTTTTTAATGTATTTATTTATTTTTGGCTGCGTTGGGTCTTCGTTGCTACACGCGGGCTTTCTCTAGTTGCGGTGAGCGGGGGCTACTCTTCTTTGCGGTGCGCGGGCTTCTCATTGTGGTGGCTTCTCCTGTTGCAGACCATGGGCTCTATGTGCATGGACTTCAGTAATTGTGGCACACGGGCTTCAGTAGTTGTGACTCGCAGGCTCTAGAGCACAGGCTCAGTAGTCATGGCGCACGGGCTCAGTCGCTCCGCGGCATGTGGGATCCTCCCGGACCAGGGCTCGAACCGGTATCCCCTGGATTGGCAGGCATATTCTTAACCACTGCGCCGCCAGGGAAGTCCCCCAGTTAGTGCTTTGACTGGCATGATTGTTCAGTTATATTTATATCTTATGCTTCTGTATGAACCATTCTTTCCTATTAAACTGTAACCCCTAAAGTTTAGGAACCAAGCTATCTTTAGCTCAGTTTTATGTAGTCTAGCACAGGGCCATATGGAAGAGATATAGTTATTCTTTGACATTTTCAAATATAATTATTAGAAATATTTATTTACTAAAACAGCCACCTGGTACAAGCCCACTTTGATCATATTTTGAGGGTAGAGGAAGGGAGAAAACAATGGAATATCTATGGTCACTATTCACTTAAGGATATCTAGATCCACTTCATAGATTATGTTTCAAGTTTTTTTAATATAGAAACAGAAATAAGACATTACCATAACAAGTACCAGCAGCTTTCACTACCCTTTCCATCATCCAATTTTCCCCCCAGCTTAATAAACATAGCACACCCATCTCTGCTGCCACATCCTAAATTCTCATGAGATTTCGATAGGCCCCAAGTGAAGATCTCAGACTCAGGCCTGCCAGCCAGTTGAACTCCAAATGGGTAGAACTTTTAATAGCCCCACTTGTTTTTCACACCAGGACTCACAGAAAATTCCTAAAAAACTAATGGTTGGTCACTGGCCAAAGGAAGGATCTTTCCAGCATTTATAATTTTCATTTAATTGAAATAAAATTTCCTAACCACTTGGTGCCATCACCCCCTTTTTTTTCAGGTACAGAGCAGTTGCCTCCTGGAGTCGTGTTCAGGGAATTGGGATTCCCTTGGTCACAGCCATTGAGATTGTCTCCATCTGGATCCTTTCTTTTATCCTGGCCATCCCCGAAGCGATCGGCTTCGTCATGGTGCCCTTTGAATACAAGGGTGAACAGCACAGAACCTGTATGCTCAATGCCACGTCAAAATTCATGGAGGTATGAAAAGTTTAAAGGAAATTAACTGGGGAGGGGAGAAGGTCTTCATTTACCATCACCAAGATTTATTGATATCTCTGCCGAGTGTGGTTTACTCTGTTAGTTCAGTCAAATATTCTTTAATTGCGTGAAAAGCAGATGTTAAACCAGGGCTTAGCTTCTTGAATAAAACAACTATTTTGTTTTCACTCCTATATTATAGCACAACTGTAGACACAACTATTGCTCTGCACCAAACAACTCAGAATTCTGAAACAGATTTACTAAGAAAGAGAGATTGATGTGTATGCATGTAGCGCTATTTGTTTTGATAATAAGGAGTACAGCACAATTTCCATCTGACAGACACGCTGATGCTTATTTGATGTTACTTGGGGAAATGCACATTGCTCACACAGTTTTTAAAGACAGATTTACTAATTCAAAGTAGGAAGTCATTCTCATGTGTGCTTATGTTAGTACAGATTCTGTCTAATATATAAATACTATAATTTTTTAAATTTTTATTTTATTTGGATTCTTTTCTCTTTTTAAAAAATATTTATTTATTTTTGGCTGCATTGGGTCTTCATTGCTGCACACGGGCTTTCTCTAGGTGCAGAGAGCAGGGGCTACTCTTCGTTGTGGTGCGCAGGCTTCTCATTGCAGTGGCTTCTCTTGCTGCGGAGCATGGGCTCTAGGCGCACGGGCTTCAGTAGTTGTGGCACGCGGGCTCAGTAGCTGTGGCTCGCAGGCTTAGTTGCTCCGCGGCATGTGGGATCTTCCTGCACCAGGGCTTGAACCCGTGTCCCCTGCACTGGCAGGCGGATTCTTAACCACTGTGCCACCAGGGAAGCCCCAAATAATATAAATTTGCAGAATTTTTTTAAAAAACATTTTAGTGTAACAGATTCAATTGTTGCTTAATACACCTGACCGCATTAATGTTTCTGAAAAGCTTAATTACATAACTGAGAGTATTAGGAAACACATTTAAAATGCACATTTCCTCTGCAAAACTAGTCACATGTAGAATGAGGAGGAAAACCAAGAATAACTATTTCTCTTAAATCAGCATAATTTAGTACTTTGATGTAAGTTTCATGCAGTTCAGATTCCACAGTTAATCATTTACAGACCTCTTAAGGTATGTTTTCCTTCCATGGAAAATTCACACAATTAGTGGTTTTACAATTGGCCAGTTAGCCTGCTTTGAAATTCTTGTTTCAAAATTAAAAGTGCTCACGAACACAGCCAAACTAGCAACCTTAAAATTAAAGTCTTCTGCTGATCTACTGACTTTTTTATGAAGTCAACCTCCACAGTGAAAAGCAAAGTAATAGGAGGCTATCAGAATTTGGGCAGTGTGAATGAGCAATCTAGAAAACCCTGACTAAAACATTAGAGAGAAGAGGCTCAACATAAGAAGGAGCTCACTGGGAATTTCCTGGAGGTCCAGTGATTAGCACTCATGGAAGTCATGGGTTCAATCCCTGGTCAAGGAACTAAGATCCCGCAAGCCGCGCAGTGTGGCCAAAAGAAAAAAAAAAAAGAGGAACTTACTGACCATTCCAGCTGGACAAAATGAAATGGGTTTCTCCACAAGGACGCATATCCTTTCTAGAGATGAAGCTAAGAGTAGCTGCCCTTCAGGCTGGCGGGAGCGTTGTGGCCGGCGGGCGCCCGGAGGGTTGCAGTATAGGGTATGAGCTTGAACTGATGATTTTGAAGATTTCATTCCAAGTCTAAAGTTTTAGGATTCTCTTTCCCCTCCTGTTCTCTTTTTCTAATGTGATTCCCCCTCTTTTTCCACTCTTCCCTCCTCAACTTTGCTCTAACCTAGACTGGAGGGAGGTCCCTCCATACCCTTGCTGGTGACATCAGTTCAAAAGAAATGTGTGACCCCATTCTCGACAGGCCTCTACCATGGAAGGGGCAGGGAACTCCATCCAGTCCCCTCCAGGTAGGGTCAGCTTCCAGGCCCTCCGCGGCTGCTGCTTCTAGGCAGTCACACCCAGCCAGCAATGCACCCAGAAGGGGGTACAAAGGGAGGGGGTCCTCCAAGGAGTGTTTGTGTTGCACTTAAATGAAGAGAGAGTCCTGATTTTTTGTTTGTTTTTTTAAGTTCGGTACTAAAATCTTTCTACAGTGTGATGTGAATAGGAAAATATTTGTATAAACAGATTTGAATAAACCAACTCCTTTGGGAGTCTGCACTTAACCTGAGGCTAGAATTCAGAGGTTTGTAAACTTGAATGGAAAGGAAATTACATGTTTATTTTCACTAACTTCTAACTGAAATTTATCATTTCCTTCTAATATGAAAGTAGGCAACAAACCACGGTAGTATTTAGCAGTACCATGATTTTTTCACTAATAGAAATAACAGACATTTCATACCACATAACAGTTGTATAATCTCGAAATATCATTTACATTCATCATTGCTTCTACATTCTGATAGAACCACCATTAGATCTGTGATTTAATTTGTTAATAAACACATATATTACTACATCAGAACTTTCTTTTTCATATTTTGATATCTGTGTTTTGATGTAATTGGTTTCCATTGTAATCTTACATATTTTATTTCATGCACATAAAAGTATTATTCTCAGAAAGAATTATAGTCTACACCAGAAGGCGATCTATGGCATAAAAATATTTAAGAACCCCTGCCCAGAACTTCTTTTCCTCAGGAACCATTTAAAGAATATTTTAATAGACATGTTATAAATGCAGCCCACTGGGCCTCTTTCTATATTCAGAAACTCTCCAGTTTTTCACAGAGCAGTGTGATTATTTTTTACTGTGGGAACTGAGATATTACAGGAGGCTGCATTATCCTTAGTAAATAAACAATCTGGAGAAACAGCATTTCTTCCCAAGCTGGTGATTAATTTAGTGGGACGAAGAATTTAGATGTAATTTTCTAATTTCCATTTTTATTGGGTATTATATTTTCTCTTTCAAGAACACATAAAACTGAGTAATCCTGGTATTTACAAATCCTGTCCTCTGGGAGATAATGCTCAGTATGCCTTCAGATAAGCTACACTGCCTCAATAGTTTCCAGGTGTTAAGTATTAAAAGAGAGCGAGAAAGGGCACAGTTATTGATGGCTCAAACTGGCTGGCTGCGAGGTCACATAGCAGACATACCAGACAAAGGGTTAATTCCCAGTAACCGGAACTCCGCAGATAAGCCATTCATAACCCTCACTGTTTCCAAACTAGATAGGCACATTAAGTACACTCTAACCACAATAGTCAGAAGTAAACCAGGCACTAGCAAAATGTTGAGAATCACCTACAAAGATGAGAGTCTGTATGTCTCAAAAATCATGTTTTATGAGCTTTGGAAGGGAACCCTTTTTATTGATTAGGGCTCTTGCCCTGTGTAATTAAAACCAACTTCAGTTTATTCAAAATACCTTTGTTGGGATAATTTTTAAATTTTATTTTATTGAAGTATAGTCAATTTACAATGTGTTAATTTCTGCTGTACAGCAAAGTGACTCAGTTATCCATATATATATACATTCTTTTTCATATTATTTTCCATTATGTTTGATCACAGGATATTGAATATTGTTCTCTGTGCTATACAGTAGGACCTTATTGCTTATCCATTCTATATATAATAGTTTGCATCTGCTAATCCCAAACTGCTAATCCATCCCTCCCTCCCCCACCTTGATAACCACAAGTCTGTTCTCTATGTCTGTGAATCTCTTTCTGTTTCATAGATAAGTTCATTTGTATCATATTTTAGATTCCACATGTGAGATCATATGATATTTGTCTTTCTCTTTCTGACTTACTTTACTTAGTATGATAATCTCTAGGTCCATCCTTGTTGCTGCAAATGGCATTATTTCATTCTTTTTATGGCTGAGCAATATTCCATTGTATATTCATCTGTCAGTGGACATTTAGGTTGCTTCTATGTCTTGGCTATGGTGAATAGCGCTGTTTGTCAGGATAATTTTTAATGCAATTTCTTTGTGTGCTATTATAAAGCCAAGATAATGTCTGGAGTTTCCAATTTAGTTGTGTTGACTACCACCTCCAAGCCCATTACCACAACCAGACAGCGTGACTATACAAACGTATCTGCAAGCATGAAAATGTTGAAGCCACCAGAGGTGCTGTATGGCTAATTTTCATTACAATGCTCCTCTTCCTCTCTCCCTTCTCTTCTCTTTCCAGTTCTACCAAGATGTTAAGGACTGGTGGCTGTTCGGGTTCTACTTCTGCATGCCCCTGGTGTGCACTGCCATCTTCTACACCCTCATGACTTGTGAGATGTTAAACAGAAGGAACGGCAGCCTGAGAATTGCCCTCAGTGAACACCTGAAACAGGTAAATCTAATACGATCATGAAGATGTGGCCAAGACTGTTTTGTCCTTGACAACAAAAGGCCTATGAATACTGTATTTCGCAGATTTAGCCTAAAAATAAAAATACTGTCAGGGCTTCCCTGGTGGCGCAGTGGTTGAGAGTCCGCCTGCCGATGCAGGGGACGCGGGTTCGTGCCCCGGTCCGGGAGGATCCCACGTGCCGCGGTGCGGCTGGGCCCGTGAGCCATGGCCGCTGAGCCTGCGCGTCTGGAGCCTGTGCTCCGCAACGGGAGAGGCTACAACAGTGAGAGGCCCGCGTACAGCAGCTGAACCTCCAAGGAGGGCCGTCACATCTCACAGTGACACCTCTGCAAACAAAGGCACAGTCTGAACAGCAAGGTGGCAGGATCTCAGCCCCTGCAGCCACCAGAACTCCCGATCCAACAAAAAAAAAAAAAAAAAAAAAAATACTGTCTTGTTCGTCTGTATGGTGGCCCTGCGGGCAGGGCCCAAACACAGAGAAACTATTCATTTATTTTGCCTAGAGTGTATCAAACATGCATGTTTGTGATTAGCAGTATGTTGAACTGGGGTTGGAACTGTGCCAGGACAAAAAAAGAAGTATATGACTTTCTCCACAGGCAGGCTTTGCAGTCTTGTGGAAATAAAACACAAACATGAAATAATTGGAAAATAGAATCATAAGTTGTGGTAAAAAGTAGCCTTTGCTATAGAAAGCCAAGGAGGATATGAGATAAAGTCATGGAGAAATTGTATGAGGGGGATTGAACTGTTCATGGAGGATAAATGGGTTCCGTGGGGAAGAAGAGGACAGGGGGCATTTCAGGTGGGTGGACAGGGGTCTAATAGAACACAGCATGGGCACCATGCATTTGGGGAACTGGAAAAAAAGATGGACCTCATTAGAGCAACATCTAAGGTAAGACTCATGATAGGAAACGGGATTGGGTACATAAGAAGCCCCATTCTGGAGGGCTCAAAGTTCTAGAAGAAATCTGAACGTGTCATTAGGACGCTATTGGTCCTTCCCAGGCAGGAAACAGAACAGATAAAACTGTGACGCTTATATTTGCTGGGTCTGTGACATTGGGCAAATTGCTTAATCTCTCTGAACTTCTAGTTCTTCAGAAAATGTATGTAATAATACCTGCACTTTTCTGTACAAATACCAACTTAATTTTGAGTCTTAAAAATTTTTAATGAAATGTATATAATAATACATCAAAGGGATGACCTAATGCATGTGCGGTGTCTAATAGAACCCAACTCATAGTTTAGTCAGAAAATGTTGATATATATTAATTCAAAGAGTAAAACTAGGACTGTGGGTAAGTTTTCAGTTTCAACAGACAAGTATATAAGGATGACGAACCACACCAAAAGTTAATGTGACTTGTTGATGGAGCCTGGAAATCTGCCCTGTAATGATGACCATACAACAAGCATCATTCTTCATCGGCAACACTTTTCAGCTAGAGGACTGATTTTTTTGAGCGTGAGCTCCCTATCTGTAAATTGGACATAATAATATGTGAATCAGTGTTTTTATGAGAATCAAAGGAATTAATGTGCATACACATACTTTATAAAATCTAACATGTTATACAAATGGTAGCTATTATCTTTTATTATAATTTAACAGGAAAATTATCTTGAGAAACTTTAGTATGACATCATCCAGGCATGAATGTTTCAAGTACTCCAGATGTGAAACATATTAAGCAATTATTATGGCTCATTCCTGCAATGAAGATAACTAATTAGAATAGATTTGTGAAAAACAGTGTTTTAAAATGTTGATTTTGCACTAGCACCACGATTGAGCCTATTTAAGCTATGAGTGGCAACCGCTCTGAAAATAATTGAATGGGGATTGGGAGCGGTAATAAGATGCTGCTGCTTCACATTTTCATAGCATTTTTTAAAGTTTTTAAAGAGCATTTCCATGTCCTTTTGGTATTTGATTCCTCCAAACACCCTGTGAGATAAGCTGGACAGGCATTACCCTTATTATACAGGTGTTTAAGAGACTGACTCAACCAAATGGAGATCAGAACCCAAGACCTGGTCCCCATGCAATAGACATTCCCTCGTGTCTCACTCAAAGCTAGAGCAGGTTCTAACAGCAGGAGAGCAAGCCTGGCTGGAAGGCCTTCCAGTGGGATGGCAGGGGAGCTAGCTCAGAGTGAAAGACCCTGCCACCCTGTCCAATAACCAATATGGCTTTTGGTCTTGCTTCTCGTGTGGTTTTCTCAAATTTCTCTTCATTATACCAAGAATACCTTTTATCAGTTAGGGATTGTGTTTGGATGCTGGTAGCAGAAAACCCAAAATAACAGGGAGGAGACCAAGTAGGGGTTTGTTTTTCTCCCATGGCAAGAAGTTCAGATGTCATTGGCTCAGTGGTCAAGGGACTCAGAAGCCAGGGTTCTGCTGGTGTACTGACCTTTCCATTTTTATTGGAACACAGCCGCTATAGCTCTACCATTATATCTTCTATCCAGGCAGCAAGAAAGGGAAGAACACAGATCGCATTAGTGTGTGTGCGCCAAAGGAGTATATCCCACGGTTTTTTTTGGCCACGCCCCACGGCATGTGGGATCTTAGTTCCCCGACCAGGGATTGAACCTTTGTCCCATGCACTGGAAGAGCAGAGTCTGAACCACTGGACAACGAGGGAAGTCCTATCCCCCACTTTTAAGTAGCTTTTCCAGAAACTCCACACAACGATTTCTACTTAATGTAATTGGTAAGAACTATGCAGATGAGGAGGCCAGGCTCCCATGCTACCATGACAAAATCAAGGATCTGACTGATAGTAAGGAAAACAGAAGAATGGATATTGATTAACCAAACATCAGACTGTCATGGCAACGTATTAATATTACCTTTTAAAAAGTTATCCTCTTTGAGGATGTGCACAGGGGATGTAACCTCTCCCCAATACCCTCCTTTTCTATTTTTCTGGGCACACTGTCTTTCTGTGTATACAAAATTGGCCCTTTAAAATGATCCCCCATTCCTGTGGGTTAATAAATAAAGGAATCCTTTATTTCTCTCAATCATTGTTCAGTTTATACATTCTCTGAAGTCATAGCCCAGCTCACTGGCCAGCTAACTCTGAAAGATTAAAGAACACCCAGTTCCTGGGACTAGAGCCACAATTTGTGACAACTGCCCTGAAATCTTTTTAAATGGCTCTATTAATCATGTGGGTTTATTGTAGGCTTCCCATACTTAACACTATATGCTTCGGGTTGAACCAGCATTACCCTTCCAAACCCTGTTTTCAATCAGTTTTATTTTGACATTAAGTGATTCCAGTTACAGACAAGTTGCATTTTACATTCCCAGTTGGGCTTCCAAACGCATGCCCTGTAATACTCAAGTACAATGCACACAAATGACTGGTTGCAGATAATTCTTAACCTATGGTTTTGCTGATCCTATGCAGACCCCAAAGCATGTAAACCTGCCATTGGAGTCAAGCCAGGGTCAACATGTCCCAGTTTTTCTAATCGTCATTGCTGATAATCCTTTACCCTCATCCCTGTATTTGTAAACAATATATCCTTGGAAACTACATGTCCATGTCATTAATGAAAGAATTTTAAAAGCAAAAAAATCCCAATGCCATGTTTCTCCAAGATCAAGAAATGGAGAAAACACGTTGTTCTTCCTTTTTCTGTTCTGTTTCCTACTCCTGTTTTGTTTTCCAAATATCTTTTTAGACTTGTCCTTTTTTTTCCCCCACCATGCCGCACGGCTTGCGGGATCTTAGTTCCCCAACCAGGGATTGAACCCAGCCCTCGGCAGTGAAAGCACACAATCCTAACCACTGGACCACCAAGGAATTCCCTAGATTTGTCCATTTTTTATCATGCTAGGGTCAGTCACCTTGACTGCCATGCTGTCATTAACGCTGGTGAATTAACTGCTATTGAGACTTTTAACTAACCCTCACCCCACATATTCAACATACACACACACACACAAACCCAGCCACGGTGTTGGCTCAACCCCAGCCAGTCCCCACCTCTGCCCACCATCGAACCTCTGTCTTGGCCCTGTTGACCAGACTGAGACCAACGTCCTTCCTGGCAGCTACCCCAAAAGAATCACTAGCAACTCCTTGCTTAGAAATTGGACCCCAAATGTTTTCTTTTTCTTTTCTTTTTGTTTTGTTTTTTTTTCTGGCCACACTGTGCTGCGTGAAGGATCTTAGTTTCCCGACCAGGGATGGGACCTGTACACCCTGCAGTGGAAGCACAGAGTCCTAAACACTGGATCTCCAGGGAATTCCCTGGACTCCAAATCTTGAAGAGGTGGAGGCATGGTGAGGGGCAGGCTGCTCTGGCATTTCTTCGAGTTACTCTTCCCCAATTTACTACTTGCTCTTGTGTAGCTCCTTCCTCTAGTAGAAAAACACTAAACTTATTGTCTTTTTTTTTTTTTTTTTTCGGTCCGCAGGCCTCTCACTGTTGTGGCCTCTCCCGTTGCGGAGCACAGGCTCCAGACTCGCAGGCTCAGCCTAAACTTATTGTCTTTTTTTTTTTTTTTTTCTCACTTTCCTTTAGCGTCGAGAAGTGGCAAAAACAGTTTTCTGTTTGGTCGTAATTTTCGCTCTGTGCTGGTTCCCTCTTCATTTAAGCCGTATTTTGAAGAAAACCGTGTATGATGAAATGGACACGAACCGATGTGAATTACTTAGGTATGATCCTCTGTACTCAGGAGGAAACTGGAGTTTCTCTTATTTCATATTTATAAGACTTTTACAAAACCACCTACTCTACATTCTCAATAGCCCTGAAAATTAAAACTGCAAAGTTGATTGTTTTCCTTTAGCTGACATTAGCCCACAACTGATCTCAAAAATGTGCGCAAGCCATATCAGTAATTTTGCTGCTCCCCTCCTGGGGCTGTGCATAATAGTTTGGGTTAACCAAGTGCTGGGTGTATGTGTAAATGTTCTGCAGAACTGAAATTACCATTTAAACAAGGACATAAGGGCTTCCCTGGTGGCACAGTGGTTGGGGGTCCGCCTGCCGATGCTAAGGACGCGGGTTCAGGCCCCGGTCCGGGAGGGTCCCACATGCCGCGGAGCGGCTGGGCCCGTGGGCCATGGCTGCTGGGCCTGCGCGTCCGGGGCCTGTGCTCCGCGGCGGGAGAGGCCACGGCAGTGGGAGGCCCGCGTACCGAAAAAAAACACACAAAAAAAACAAGGACTTAAAAAAAAAAATTCTGACTGCCACCTATAAGAAATGGCTTCTGGGCAAGAAAAATGCTTATTCTAGAGATAAATGCTAGTTAGCAGATTTGAAAACATGTTCTAATCTATCTCCTCTATTTTCTTTTGCTCTAGTTTCTTGCTGCTCATGGATTACATCGGTATTAACTTGGCAACCATGAATTCATGTATAAACCCAATAGCTCTATATTTTGTGAGCAAGAAATTTAAAAATTGTTTCCAGGTAAGAAGTTTTGCAAGCATTTTTTAAGAACAACCAAATGAGTATATTAAGTAACCAACAGGCATGGTTCATTCCAGTTGTAAATATCACTTTCATTAGCTGTACTTTTCAGTAGAGAAGTGAAAGATCACGTTTTGTTACCCAGAAAGAGGGTCAAGTTGTCAGCATAACAGAAAAGCAATATCTATTCAGACGACAACATATTCAGAGGTTAGAGCAAAAAGAGCTAACTTAATAACATGCCAGTTTAGTGTCCTGCTTTAAAAAGAAATACTCCAACTTGAGCTCTAGGCCAACAGAATAGATAAAATTTATTCATGATCTCAACAAAACATAAACTCATTGTTAAGAAATCTCTTGCTAAATGCTATTTAATAGTACACTTAATAATAGCCTTTTCCAGGAAAGTAAATGCTTATGGATCTGGAAATCTGAACTAATGTAATTTAATTCGAAATCAATTTCCTTCCGTTCTTCAAAGTTCCCCGTAGCTAAGCCAACCCATGTCCTCCCGAAGCTCCAAGCACTTCTTATTGAGGTGTCATTTTTCCAGTTCCTAGAATGATTTTAGCATAAAGTTCATCCTAACTGGATTCTGTTATCTTTGGCCAGGATGTTTAACTTCAGTTTATGGTACGTATTAGAAAGAGTAGCATAGAGTTCAAGGGTGCAGGATGTGGAAGCCAACAATCTTGATTTAGATCACAGCTCTGCACTAGCTAACTGTCTTATCAGTTCCAAGTGGTACCCCTCCTGCTTCCTCAGTTTGCTCATCTGTAAAATCAGATGCTCACTGTACCTATCTCATAAGGTGGAATGCAGTGGGTTAATATATGTTAAGTGCTTGAGACAACAGAGAGTGCTCAGTGTGAGTTTCTTATTATTAGAGATAGAAGAGAGGAAAAACACAAGCGACTGCCCTTGTGGAACTTATAATCTAGGAGGAAACAGACAAATATGTTTTAAAAAATCATAGAAATTGATGAAACCTGGTGTGGAAGTTCTTGTTGCCACACTTTTGAAGTCTAGTGGGTCATGTTTACAAGTCACGAAATGCCCTAAGAAAGATTCTGCCCTAAGAAAGATTGACTAAAATGCAGGTCATAACAAATACATGATGTAATCTGGAGTTAATATCAGTCTCTAATTAGTTTACACATTAACAAGAGGGGAAGGGAAAAAAAATCAAGGTGCAAACCCTCAGACATTAAACACAGTTTTGACTGATCTTCATAAAAAGGCAGCATACCCAGGCAAAAGAGCCCAATAGAGAGAGTCCTGGGTTCTAAGTTCAGTTCTGCCTCTTATTATCCTCTCTAAGCCTCCCTGTTCTCATTCATAAAATGAGGAAAATAGCACCTACCCCCAAAAGCTGTTAAGAGCATCAGGTGAGGTGGCCAATGCAGAGAGCCAAGTAGGTGGTACACACTGAAGAAATGCCAGGCCTGAGACTTCCCTGGTGGTCCAGTGGCTAAGGCTCCACACTCCCAACGCAGGGGGCCTGGGTTCAACCCTGTTCGGGAAACTAGTTCCCACATGCCGCAACTGAAAGATCCTGTGTGCCGCAACTAAGACCCAGCACAACCAAATAAATAGATATTTTTTTAAATAATAATAATTTTTAAAAACACTTAAAAAAAAAATGAAATGCCAGGACCCTCCCAGCCCTTTCCACCCATGCCCACCCCAAATCATTGATCACCCTCCCTCCACCAACACGGCCTTCTCTTCCTCTTTGACTTGGTGAATAAATTAAAACAAGAAACAAGGGATCTGTTGCTTTGCACTAGAATAAACTGTTTAACTTCTCCCTAGAGGTTACAAACTCCCTACCCTACATTACTAGTAAGGCTCACACTCTGTCCTCAAATGCCTACAGACATTCACCCCTTGTTGGTAGGCCTCCAGGTTCTGCTGCAGGGAACAGGTTTGGTGGCCTCATCTTTTTTTTTTAATTATTTTTGGCTGCGTTGGGTCTTCATTGCTGAGCGTGGGCTTTCTCTAGCTGAGGTGAGCAGGAGCTGCTCTTCCTTGCGGCGCGCGGGCTTCTCATTGCAGTGACCTCTCTTGTTGCTGAGCACGGGCTCTAGGTGCGTAGGCTCAGTAGTTGTGGCGCACAGGTTTAGTTGCTCCACAGCATATGGGACCTTCCCGGACCAGGGCTCGAACCCATGTGCCCTGCATTGGCAGGCAGATTCTTAACCACTGCGCCACCAGGGAAGCCCTGGTAGCCTCGTCTTAACTCGAGTCTATTCCTTCTCCCAGTCTTGCCTCTGCTGCTGCTGTTACCAGTCCAAGAGTCTGATGACCTCAGTCCCCATGAATGGAACAAGCATCCAATGGAAGAATCATGAACAAAACAACCATAACACAGAGAGGAGCAGCCATAAGGACAGTATAAACTAAACATCTTAAGGAACATTCATCAATATACTTCAAATCCTATTGGAGAAAAAAAAGAAAAAATCAACACAACAAGTGCATCTCCAGAAATCTCTTCTTCCATCCTCCTCCCAAGGCTCAGTACCACCCCCTGGAAAAATGTTTTCCAAACATTGAAGGGTTGACTGGTTTATACCCACAAATTCAACGAATCTTACTTTGATTTATCTAATTTACATATTCTGCATGTTATATTCAGCCCTAAAAACTGGTGGGAGTTGGCGGGGGAAAGGAGATTGTTCAGTTAAACTAGAAGGATATATACTATCTTTGCATGAAAATAGAGTTTTCGAGTACGTGGCTAGCTTTCGTGGCGGTTCTGTAGAATGTTCCGTAAGAACTGGTCGCCATGAAAAGGTTAGAAATTATAACAAGGTTTTCTATTTTTTTAAAGTAATTTTGTTTCTTGGCCAAACACGGTATGGGTTTAAGTCTCCTTTATTTGAAATGTCATTCAGTGCCAGTATTTTTTAACTGCATAGTTGCCTATACAAATGATGATTTGAGCTTATTTACACATATTTTGCCCCCCAAAAAGAAGAAGACATAAAATGGACTTCAGGTGAGCAATTAGGTTAATGTTTCTCATGTCACTGGCTTATTTTTAAAACATAAATTCTCAAGCTGCAAGAGCTTACAAGAACTTAAAGCACAGACCGATATCCACATACGGCAGTTTAATAACTGCTATTCAAACAATTTTTAAGAATCTATATTTTCTTTTTTAATGGTGTTTCCTTACAGGAGACCTTGTGCATATTTTTATGTTAAATTTAAAAATAATGCTTGAATGAAATAGTTCTATTTTTCACGAGCCCAATTTTTTTAATGGAAACATGTTATGTAAAACCAATACCATATACTAAAATTTAAATGTATGTGTCATTTAACTATGCCCAAGACTTTCAGTGCAATGCACAGAAGTCCAAAGCACAGCCAGGAGAAAAGGACTGAGTATTTTTAGAAGATTTGGAAATTTTCATTGAGGTTTATTTTTGGTTTTAATAACATGTATACGTGTGTATATGTATGCAAATGTACATACATATATACATATATATGTATACAAATCACCTCATAGTCTCTTGATTGCTTTTAAAATGTTAACTGGCGGTAAGACTCTTTTGGTCATTCCCTTTTTCACATAGGAATATAGGAAACATAATTTCAAAGAGGCCAGCTGAGTTTATCATGTCAGTGAAATATAATTGCCACCATGAACTTAAGGTTCTCTGGATTTCCAGTATGCACCTAAACACCTCCCTCACCCCAACTCCTCACACAGTCACCATTTCAAGAGGCCCACAGTGATTTCTGCTGGGCGTTTTCCACGATGTTTACAGACTGTGAGTACGGCAGAAAATCTTTTACTGTGTGTATATAAACATATATATATATATATATAAACAACCATACAGTTCTTTTAGCCAATTTTTCTGTGATTGTCTCTATGGAATGCACTCGTGGGTGTCGTATTTGCACGTGGTGGGACGGTTGTATGGACTTCACGTAATCTAATACTAATGCCCAGCAGTTGTGCCAAAGCACACACTCTAAGTGGAATCTAGGTAGATGTTCCTCTCGACAACCAGCCTCAGTCAGTTTTAATCTGTCTGTGTTCATAAATCTTCTGACAGTGCTACTATTACAAATGGAACGTGGCAGGCAGCATGAAAAAGGACAAGCCATGGGCAGACAATGGGGTTTTGGTTCGTTGGTTGGTTGGTTAGAAAAAAGCAGTATTTGGGGTTATATTTTTTTCCTGTGCTGGAGCAAAAGTCATTAACATTTGAAGTATTATATTGTCCCAGTTCCCAACTCAGCGTGGTGATGAGACTGACAAGTGGGCAGATGTTTCTATCAGACTTCGCCAGAAAGATTGCTGATAATAAATTAGCTCAGCTGATTCTTTGGGCTGTATTTTAGCACAGTCATGTATAAAATGATATCAGATTCCAGCCATCCAATTGCAGGGCTCCTTTACGTGTTAGCAGTCAAATTCCACTAGCCCACTGGTGTGTCACATGCAGTGATACATCCCTGTAATGTAAGCCATACGTTCACACCATTTTGTTTAGACAGATGTCTTTTTTTAAAGATGCTTTGTCTCTTGCATATTAAAAATGCATTTTACAAGTTCAAAAAGTCATAGATTTCTGAATAACCACACAGACTTCCATGTGCATTTTGTTTATGGACCAGTAAGTGACCATGGTTGACTAGTAGGAATATTTCCGATTTCTACCTTTATCACATCTTTTCAAGTAAATCTGTAGAAATGAGCCAGAAGCCAAGGCCCTGCACTGGCAGTGGCCCATAAATATAAAATAAAAGTTTACAGAAGCCTTGCAGGTGTCTCTTCATTTGTATATAGTTCTATGTAGGAAATGTTTGCTACACAATACCTATTGCAAACCTCTCCCTAGTGATAGCCAGGTGAGCAATTTTACTTTCAAACAGATGCTTCCTAACTGTACTCTACTCTCAACCAACTCTGCTGTATTGAACACTTAACTCTCCCATTCATTCCTTCCTTCATCTTTCCTGTAAATTTTACTGAGCATCTGCTATGCACCAGGAGTTCTTCTAGGTATTGGTGATATAGCAGGGAACAAAACAGGCAAAATGCCTGCTCTCATGGAGCTTGTGTTCTAGAAGAAGGAGTTGGACAATAAACAATTAGGATCAATAAACAGTGTGTCAGGTGGGTACCTGGAGGAAAGACTCGTCTACATACAACTGCTTATTTGACATTTCCAACTGGAGGACTAATAGACTTACTATATCTGAAACTAAGGTCCTGATATCCTTCTAACCCGTGCTGCTGTAATATTCCTCTGCTCATGTGTTAGTCAAGGTTCTCCAGAGAAACAGAACCAATAGGATAGATAGATGAATAGGTAGATAGATACATACATACATACATACATACGTAGAAGATTCTTTGTGAGAACTGGCTCACATGATTATGGAGGCTGAGATATGTATGCCATGATGTGCCATCTACAAGCTAGAGAACCAGGAAAGCCAGGAATATAATTCAGTCCAAACGCTAAAGCCTGAAGAACAAGGGAGCTGCCGGTATAACTCCCAGTCTGAGGTCAAAAGCCTGAGAACCGTGAACAGCTCGCTGGTGTTAAGTTCCAGGGTCCACAGGCCGGAGGACCAGAAGCACCAGTGTCCACAGGCAGGAGAAAGAAGAGACAGAGGAAATTCATCCTTCCTCCTCCTTTTGTTCTTTTCAGGCCGTCTACTGATGGGTGATGCTTGCCCATGCTGGCGAGAGCAGATCTGCTTTACTCAGTCTCCTGATTCAAATGCTAATCTCTTCCAGAAACACCCTCACAGAAGCACCCAGAAAGAACATATTCCTAGCTACAGTGTGTCTGTCCCTTAGCCCAGCCAAGTTACACAGAAAATGAACCATCACAGCCCATCTTTTGAGGTGTCAGGACAAAAGCCTTGAAGTCCTGTCCCACTTCTTTCTCTCACAGCTTATACCCAACTCCTCAATAAATTGTGACAGGCGCATCCTCAGACTACCTCCAGAATCTGACTCTCCCTCTCCCTCCCTCTTTTCCTCTCTCTCTCTCTCCCCCCACCACCGCCGCCACACACACACACACCTCCCACCTCCCTTTTCTGAGCCACCAACATCTCTTGCCAGTATAACTGCAATCAGATCCTACATGCCTACTTGTTTCCAGCCTTGGAAACACCACACTCTAACTGGAGCCTCTCTCTCAACCCCCATAAGTGGTCTAAAGGTGTTCACATTTCCAAGCTAGGCTGATCAGCAACCCCTAGGGAGTTTTCTACTAACAACTAAAGTAAGAGAGAACCCTTTCTCACTGTTGCAAGCCTGGGAGGGTGGGCATTGTGCAGAAAGTCAGTCTAGAGTGTAACAGAGATGAAAAAGCACATTTAAGTCCCTGGGTCTAGTTTGTCCTGATGCTTTTCCGTGGCTTGAGTAAAGCCAACGAACACATTTACCTTTGTGCCCATGCTAGTTAGATTTGGTTTTCTGTTGCTTACAGTCACAAGGTCTAAGAACATCTCATGTAAGTTATTTTTATTTATCTCTTCTTATTGCTGTTGTTTAAATTAATAGACTATGTTTTTTAGAGTAGTTTTAGGTTTACAAAAAAATAATTGATCGGAAAGTCCAGAGAGTTCCCATATGCCCCCTTTTCCCTGCTTCCTCATACACAGTCCCCCCTGTTCTCTACCCCTTGTATTAGTGTGGTGTATTTGATGAACCGATATTGATACAACATTATTAACTAAAGTCCATAGTTTACATTAGGGTTCGCTCCTTGTGTTGTACATTCAATGGGTTTTGACAAATGGAGAGTGACAGTTAATCTACCATTATAGTATCATTCAGAATAGTTTCACTGCCCTAAAAATCCCCTGCGCTCCACCTTCCCTTCCCTCCTCCCCTCCCTCTTGATTTAGCTTTTCACTCAACACAGATGTAGCATATTACCCTGTGCTAGTTGCTGGGAACGTAAAACCGGATGTATAAATAAATACATGCACTGAAGTGCTTAGTGGTGAATCTGTAGCCATCAGCATTGGGGACGGTAATAGCACAAAGGCAAAAGCAGTCAAAATTCTTTAAACTTCAGCGAGTGACATCAATGAGCACAGTGTGAGGGCTCTTGCTTCTACAGTTCTCATTTTAGCCAATATAATCATGTCACTGCTGAGACACTGGCATTACAATAAGCAATATAGCATTGTCTCTGCATTAGGAGCTTCTTAAAAGTCTGTAAATACACGTTATTCACCATCCAAAAATAAAGCCACCCAGGAAATTTTAAATTATTACAGTAGTGAAACAAACTGGAGATTAAGTCCAAGAAACGGCCAAGACACATGTGAATCTTTCACTAGTCAATTACCTCTATTGTTATTTTTAGTAGTATTGTTAGTCCATGAGAGTGTATTAAACACTATATATGTGTAGAGTGAAGAAAATACAGTCAGTCTTCCAAAACCTTTCTAGGCCTGAAATTCTGATTCCTTTGTCTATAACGTAACCTAGCACAGTACTGTACTTATTGATTTTTCTCCATACTTCAAACAAGCAAAGTTAAATCAAGGTACAAGTCCGCCACATGCAGTTGATCTTTTCTGAAATTCCAATGGAGTCTTCACATTGAAAAATCCCAGTGGTTTTTAATAATCCTACATTAGAGAAGCTTCTGTCACACTCTTCTCTAAGTAGTAACAAAGAAAAACCAGCATCTTTATTTGGTCAGCACTGAAACTTCTACTTTTTTGTTTCTAAAACTGAAAGGATACAGGCCACAGCTCTTAGAATCAGGGAATAATCAAGAACTGAAAATAACATTGTAACTGCAAAGCCACCTTTCCCATGAAGCATGCTAACAGAGTTCACTTTTGATTTGATGAAGCCAAAAGTCCTAATATCTCATGGCTTCCCAAGCTTTTAGCATCAATAATATTCAGTTGATTCCGTGTTTCTTCCTGGGAGGTAATAAATTAGGAACAGCAATGCCACCCTAGATAGAATCAGAAGAGTCATGAATCTTCCTAAGGGAATATAGAGAATTCCACAGATTTTTTCCTTTTTGGTCCTAATCCACACAGTCTCCTTACCTAATTTATGTACATGGAACTGATCATCTTTTATTTGAATTTGATTCCATGACAGTGGATGCAACTGTGTGCTTGGCGTTGTGTGACAGATTTGTCCCAGATGGGAGAGAGTAACGGAGGCTGCCCAGACTATGTAGTATCATGTGATCAGCCAAACCACAGGCCCCAGGCACCTACAAGGCACAGCTTGTCTCCCTCCACTGACGCAAGTTTTTACAGAATAAGCCATTTCTCCATGACATATACCTCTCTATTTCTCTCAGAGTATGACAATTGGGATTCACTACAATTAAATTCTTGTCTTTTAAAGGATCCTGAAATGAGAAAATCTACTAAATGTGATCAAGTAAGGGGAACATATGTGCCTTTTTAGGCTTTTCAGGGCAAACATTTGCGCATAATGAAAATTTGATCTCCTGGGTCCAGTCTTTTCTCTATTTTAGGCAACCCAATGGGGTTAGGCCTGGATCACTCACTCTCAATCAAGCCCCTGTTGGGAGGGATGGAATTCTGCTGACCAGCTTAGGCCAAGAAGGGACAACTCCTGGAGCTGAAGCTGGGACGGGGTAGGGGGGAGTAACTTGCCAAAGGAAGACCCATGTGGCCTTAGTAAGGGGAAAGGAGGGACTTCTCTGGTGGTGCAGTGGTTAAGAATCTGCCTGCCAATGCAGGGGACACGGGTTCGAGCCCTGGTCTGGGAAGATCCCACATGCCACGGAGCAACTAAGCCCGTGTGCCACAACTACTGAGCCTGTGCTCTAGAGCCCGCGAGCCACAACTACTGAAGCCCACGTGCCACA